CCACTTCATCCTCATTGACTGTACTTGTGGGAGTCTAATTTTTTACCATCTTCAAAATCAGTTGGAGGCACAGCACGCTCAGTTTTGGTGACTTCGCCTCACAGGAGACAGCGTTTGAGAACCGGTGGTTTTTGACTGAAAATCTGATTCCTCCACAATGCTCCTTCTGCCCTCTCCCCTTCCTGGTCAAATCGAATTAGTGTGTTTCCAGATGCCCTTTATCTTTTGCAGCTGTAGAGTCTCGCTTAGGCAAAAGATGTTACAAGCCATCCTTGATATTTCCTCCATTCGTCGGTTTTACGTTTCTTCCCTCGCCAAAGTTCTAATGCTGTATGTGGAAAGGTCGCTTTATCGATGGCGGCTTTTCACCTGGGATTCTCAGGAATCCGTCGTCCCTCGAACACTGAACTGTCAACGTGGGACGGGTCGAGCGATGTTTACAGTAATGCGGATCGCTGTTGTGTTGCCATCACTCATTAAGTTCCACTTTAAACCTCCTCGCAATATTTACCGCAATCTTTAAGCGTTACTAGGGCATTTTCAGAAAATGGAGGTGATTGAATTATGCTTTTTATTTATCAGTTATCGTCATCAAGGATTAAAGAGACAAATATTTCATTAATTATTTCCTGATGATGATCAATATTTATTGCGTCGAAGCGCTAGGTCAGTGATAAATAAAGAATAAGCCTCGTCATTCATGCCGCTGACAATGGAATTAGAAACCGTAATCGCTACCGATATTCCCCTGGAACTTTTCAAATCCTTAACGAAGCGAGAAAAGGGAAAAAACGTCTGAGCGTTCATCTAAAAACTGGTAAAGGAAAGAATTGGAAACAACCGAAGCATGAAGAAATTAAATCGACGGTCAGGAAACGACAAATCTGTTCACAAGCACAACGCGACTCTTTTGAGGTACACGCAAGAGGAAGAGAAAGAAAAATTGAAAGTGAAAAGAGTGAACCACTTTTATAAACTTCATAAGAATATAGCACCTTGGTAACGATAAGGAGCTTGAGGATATAAATGACATTGACGAAATTCCAAAAATCTTGTCAGAGGAAGTGAGACATGCAATAGAACAGGAGAACGCGAGGAAGAGCTCCCTCCGAAAACGACACTGCAGTGGAACTCATTGAATCAGGAGACGAATCACTCATTATCCAAGATATTAACGTGCTTGTTTTCAAGCTGTCTAGAGGAACTGAAAACTCTAGGCAACTGGATTGCTTCATCGGTGATTCTGCTTCACATGGAGGGAAACAATGGACATTTGAAAAACTACAGGTCGAGCACTTTGTTGGTAATCATCTACAACATCCTCATGAACGTACTGACGAACAGACTGCGATAGAAACTGTATGTCGTTCAGCCAAAGGAGCGAGCAGGATTCACATGTGGATTTAGCATCATGACGGATCATCTCCAGGTGGTACAGCAGCTAATCCAGAGCAGCAATTAAAATCAGTTTTCTCTTTGCGCGGGGTTCTTCGATTTCGAGAAGGCATTCGATTCGGTCTACATCCGTTCTGTAATGGATTCCTTGAGGAGGCAGGGAAACGAAAAAACATATAAAACCTCATTACCAAGATTTACGAGAATACAATTGCTGGTGCGCAGCTTCGCTAAAACACAAGCAAATTCAAACTCGAAAGGGCGTCAGGCAAGAAGACACGGCATCAACGAAGTTATTCACGACGCCCTAGAATGGGTTTCCAAAACACACCTCAGGGAAAATCAGGGACTGAACATAAATGAGCAC